TCACAGGGCTCTAGGGCTGGAGTGATGTAGTTTTACATGAGGGAGGAGAGTGCTTTTACCTCAGCTCGAGGATTCAGAGCTGTGGCCAGCAGAGCGGCCTCTTGACCATGCCTTCTGCATCTGCCGCACAGCTTTGTTCTCCGTATTTCCTCATCTTGTCACTAGAGAGGGAGAAGGGACACAGCACAGAACACAGGGAAACTGAAGATGTTCCCCTCCATGGCAGAGTGCCCTGGGCACTCCAGGAGAGGCAGAAGAAGTTAGGGCAGGGTTTGCCCTCAATGGCTGTGTTGTTGGGGGAAAGCCAGCCTCCACAGTCCAGCCTCAGGCCTCAGTTCTGGGCCAGGGCTGTAGTCCAGTGGCAGAGAGCTCGCTTAGCACTTGCAAGGCCTAGAGTTCACTCCCCAGCACTACAAGTCAAAGCAAAGTAAAACGGATGTTTTGAACTCCCAGACACTATGACTCTTAAAGGACACTAACATTCTGCTAAACAAATACCAGAAGTTGCTTTTAAATTTGGGTTTTCAAATATGTAAAACTTACTGATTTACTTCAGGGTCCACATTTCTCCCGCATGAATACAATGAAGGCTTATTGTTGGCCTCCTGCTTGGATTGGGAAGTGTCCAGGCAACCCACAGCTCTGAAGCCTGGGAACCACCGAGCTCCGAGGTGGGACCGTGTTCCAAGAGAAGGGAAACCTGAGGCATGCAGCCTTTCATCCATGCAGCAGGCAGCGCTGCCACAGTCAAGCCACAGCCGCCGCTGGCAGGACAGATCCGCCATGCTGCAGCGGAGCCCTGATCTGTCAGGGCAGCTTGCGGCCTCAGCAGCTGCCGCAGGCCTCCACAGCGCCCCTCAGCTGCAGACGCACCCCTTCAAGGGCCGTGTCTAGCCGTGAGCAGCAGGCCAGCCACTGACGCTTGACGTAGCCGGCCGCCAGACTCGCCCTCCTGCCCTGGGTGGAGACCACGGATGCCTCAGCGAGAGCTGTGCGCGGTGGCCCTGCCTGCCGCAGCCTACTGCCGCGGGAACCAACACCTCTCCTGCCTCGGAACGCCCACTCTGGGCGCCGTGGGAGCTGTCCGTGGTGCCCCTCGTGCCTCAGCCTGAGGGAGCTGACACCTTTCTGCCTCAGCGCCATGGGAGCTGTCCACGGTGACACAACCTTTCCTGCTTCAGTCTGCTGCCTTCGCAGTGGACTCTGTACATTTCGGACTCTTCGTGGCCTTTATCACCCCCCAGGGCAGAAAAGCGGCCCGACCCCTGTCTGAGGAGGCTCCAGCAGTCCATCCCCTCCCCCCAGAACTCTGTCACTGTCATCCCCAGCCCCTCAGTAGGCCTCATCCCACGTTATGCAAATTTCAGGGGAAAAGTCTGGACACAACCCACCAATCCCTGAGCAGGAAAACCGACCAATCCCTGAAGAGGAAAGCCCACCAATCCCTGAGCAATAAAACCAACCAATCCCTGAAGAGGAAAGCCCACCAATCCCTGAGCAGGAAAACTGACCAATCCCTGAGCTCCCCCAAGCTCAGGCCTTGAAATCCCACCAATCCACACTCTGAAAAGCCCTGCCCCAGAAAGATCCGCCCCCTAAGAATTCCTATATAAACGCTGTGTCTGCCTGGTTCCCGCTGCCTGCTCCAGGGAGCAGAGGCAGACGCTACTGGATTCTTCCGTTCTCTCCGCAGGATGCCCATGGGACTCTGTCCCACCTCAGAGCTGGGATGACTCCCAGCCCTCGTAGCATGTGACATGGCTTGTGGCCCCAGGGCTGTGGGTTTACCGGACACCCTTCCATCCGGAAGGCAGGCCTACCAGCCAGCCACACAGGAAATAACAGAGTCCCAAGGGCATCCTGAGGCTCGGGGGCCCAGGAACCTCACAGCTCTGAGAGGAGCCTCCTCAGCTGACACTGTAGCTCCCGGGAGGGTGACCCCAACCCTGAGGAGCTGAGGAGCCTGAGCTCTGCTCCTTCTTCATGTCTTCTTTCTTCTCTTCTTCCAATGGAGAGTCACAGCAGGCGGTAAATCTCTCAAGAGACTCATTGGAGGGACTAATCCAGGAGAGGAGGGAAGAATCCAGAGGCGTCTGCCTCTGCTCCCTGGAGCAGGCAGCGGGAACCGGGCAGACACAGCGTTTATGTTGGAATTCTTAGGGGGCGGAGCTTTCTGGGGCAGGGCTTTCCAGAGTGTGGATTGGTGGGATTTCAAGTCCTGAGCTTGGGGGAGCTCAGGGATTGGTGGGCTTTCCTCTTCAGGGATTGGTGGGTTTTATTGCTCAGGGATTGGTGGGCTTTCCTCTTCAGGGATTGGTGTTTTTGTTTTGTTTTCAGACTTTTCACCTAAAATTAGCATAATCTGGGGGGGGTCTCACTGAGGGGCTGGAGATTGCCATAGTGACAGTTAGGTGTGTGCGGGGAGGGGCCTATTAACTCATGCCTCAAGGGGTTTACGCAGACTTGAACCCTCAGCTAAACCAAACAACTTTACTAAACTGAATTTATACTAAAGGGTCAGATTCCTCCTCTTGGTCCCTGGCGGAAGGCGCCAAACTACACAACGCTCCCTGCTTAGGCTGGGGTGGTCAGCGGAGGATGGCTAGTTTAGACATTGTTGCCTCAGAGGTGGCAACCGCGCTCTGAGACTAGTTCCGGTTGGTTACCCTCCCTCCCCCTGAGTTCCCTGTCAGCAGCAGCTTAACTGAGGCCTCAGCCTCTCAGTTTCTCCCGGTGTCTGATCTCGGGCTCCAGGGCTGTGGAGATGTAGCCTCAGCCGCTCTGGGGTCCTGAGGCGTTGCTGTCCGGAGGTGTAGGGGGACCAGCAGGACATCCCGAAGATCTGCGCATCCCTTTCAGGGACCACAGTGGCACCCAGGGGAGCTGAAGAGCTGAAGAGGGGTCACCCAGGGAAAGATGTAGGGGAGCCCAGAGGCAAAACTTGAAGTGGCCCTGCCTGGCTGCTGAAGCTCCTCAGGCAGGGGCCAGGACGCTTCCTGCAAAGTATACGGTTTACGGTGTTAAACAAAGAAAGGAAGTTTAATAGCCAACACGTGTTTCTGGCTCGGTGTCTCAAGGGCTCTAATGTCTGACCATGTGACAGTTACAGATTTCCAGCCCATGACTGTCTGTAATACCTGCCCGCCTTCTGCACTGCAACCCTTAAAAATGGCAAATTTTATTTAATATTTTCTCTGGCTGAGCGGTGGTGGCACATCTTTAATCCCAGCACTTAGGAGGCAGATGCAGGCAGCTCTCTTGAGGCCAGCTCTGGTTTACAGAGGTAGTTCCAGAACAGCCAAGGCCACAAAGAAACCCTGTCTCAGACACAAAACAAACACAAATTCTCTCTGCTTTTGCGGATAGTTAGTGTGGCCCAGCAGCACCCTCAGGGATGCAGGGCGTGACAGCCTCCCGGCTGGGGAGCTGCTGAAAGGCCTGGCTTTGGGGCCTCTCCTTTGGCTGTTAGTGTTGCCACACCTGAGCTCCGGGTGAGCTTTCTTCCAGGAAGGCTTTCTCACTTTTCCCCAGAAACAACCCTATGATTGCTTTTATGTCTCTCCATTCTGGAAAACACCTTTCAGCACAGAGTTCCAAACGAACCCTCCGGGTGTTGCTTGTGCTATCTTGACTTTCTTACACTTCCCTTTGACTCTGCAAAGTCAGTGTGCCCTATTTCCCTCGGTTTGGAGAGACGAGACGCTCTGTGGATGCTCCTGCTGGGAGCAAGGGAGCTCCAGCCTCTCCAAAGTCAGTCAGTTCTGAATGTTTCTTATCCTGTTTAACTTGGGGTTAATGTACCAAAGTGACTCTAAAACTGCAATTTTCTGAAATGATCCTGAGACTATGGACTGTAATTTCTGGAAGTGTTTTAGCCACGAGAAAAGAAATTCATCATCTGATGCCTAAGAAAAGAAATTCATTAGCATTGTTTTGTTTTTTTTTTTTTTTTTGCATATTTGATCTTTCATATATTTGTCATGGGGCATATTTGGTCCAGTAGAATGACAGCTTTTAACTATGATTTGAAATGTCTAAGAAATTTAGGCTTACATTTTAAAAATGGAAAACAAATTTTTTAAAAAGTTTGTTCTCACTTTATATCCTGACAACAGCCCCCTCCCTCCACTCCTCCTGATCCCACCCTCTTCCCCTTATCTCCTCCCCTAATCTCAGATTAGGGGAGGAGGGGACCCCCCCATCATTACACTCCAGCACATCAAGACATATCAGGACAGATCGCATCCTCTTCCATGGAGGCCAAGCAGGGCAGCCCCACTAGGGGAAATGACCCAAAAGCAGGCAACAGAGTCCATGCCAGAAACCCACCCCACTTGCTAGGGGACCCCATGAAGATGCACTGCCCACCGGTTACGTGTGTAGTGGCCTAGGTCCAAACCATGGACCCACCCCATGGCTCTTTGGTTGGTGCTTCAGTCTCTGTCCTCCTCTGTGGGCCCAGGTTAGTTGAGTGTTGGTCTCCTTGTGGGGCTCTTGTCCTCTCTGGTCCTTTTATCCTTCCTCCACATTTCCGCAAGACTCCCAGAGCTCAGACCCATGTTTGGCCTCGAGTCTCAGTGTCTGTTTCAGTCTGTGCTGGGTGGAGCCTCTCAGAGGACAGCCCTGCTAGGCTCCTGGCTGCAAGCATAGCCGAGTGTCCTTAATAGTATCAGGGGCTCCCTCTACCATGGGGTGGGTCTCAGGTGGGGCCAGGCATTGGTTGGACATTCCCTCAGTCTCTGCTCCCTTTTTATCCCTGCAGGTCTTGGAGGCAGGGTGAATTTTGGGTTGAAGGTTTGTTGGTGTTCTCCCTCCACTATAAGTCCTGCCTGGCTAGGGGGTGGCCACTTCAGTCTCCATGTCCCCCACTGCTAGGAGTCTCAGCTAGAGTCACCCCACATCCTCCCCACATCTGATCCCCGCCCTCATTTTCCTCCCCACACTGTCTCCAGTTCCCTCCCTTCATCCACTCCTGTTGTCTATTCTATTTCCCCTTCTGAGTGAGAGTCAACCACTCTCCTTTGGGCACTTTTTGTTACTTAGCTTCTTTGGGTCTGTGGAAAATAGATTTTTTCAAATAATATATTCTGATTGTGGTTCCCCTCTCTCAGCTTCTCCCAGACCCTGCCCACTTCCTGATCCACCCAAATACCCGGTCTTTCTCCATTAGAATACAAACAGACATTAATAATAATGAATAAACATAAACAAACCAGAATAGGACAAAACAAACACATAGAAGAAAAAGAGCCAAAGCAAAAGTACAAGATACATGTAGAGGCACACACCTTTGCACACACAGAAGTCTCATAAAAGCATAAAGCCAGAAACCATAATATTTGCACAAAGGACTATATAAAAAACTAGACACCGGGCTGGAGAGATGGCTCAGAGGTTAAGAACACCGGCTGTTCTTCCAAAAGTCCTGAGTTCAATTCCCAGCAACCACATGGTGGCTCACAACCATCTATAGTAAGATCTGGTGTGCAGGCAGAATGTTATAAAATAAACAAACAAACAAACAAATATATATATAAATAAATAAATAAATGCTAGAAATTCCCCAATGGTTGGAGCTGTGGACAATACATGGTCATTAATCATATACAAAGTGAGTAAAGTGTAATTAATAAAAAAAATAAAATTAAAAAAAAGAACTAGACACCAAGAAAACAAGTAAGCAAATGACAAGATTGGGTACGTGTCTCAGATGAGGAAACACAAGTGGGCGAGAAATACCTACAGAAATGGTCAACATCCTCAGTCATCAAGGAGATGAAAATAAAGACTAGCAGCTGAGCTGTCGCTTGTGACCGGTGTAAGATGGAATCTCAGAGTACTTTATGTAGTTTAGGTAGTAGCTCTCTGAAGGGTGCAGTTGGTAAAGTTGTTTCCTGTTCCGTAGCCTGTCACTTTGTCTCAGTGACGGTACCCTTGGCTACACAGAAGCTTTTCCATACCTTGTGGTCCCGTTTATTAACTATTGTTCTTGGTGTCCTTGTTGTCGGTCTGCTGACGCAAGCATGGCCCCAAGATCACAGGGAACGCGCTGCAGATAGTGGGTACAGGGGACGGGGGGGCGGCGAGGCCCTGGTGCTGGGAAGTGGAGACAGGAGGATCCCTGGGGCTTGCTGGCCAGTCAGTCCAGCTGGATCGACTCCGGGTTCAGCGAGAGAACCGGGAAGTAAGATGGAGAGCGTGAGAAACACAGCTGGTGTCTGCCTCAGGCCCCCAGGCGCACACACAGACACACACTGAGCGCAGACGCGGGGTCGCTGCAGCTCGTACCTGTTCCCCGGCAGCCACACCCGGCCTAAATCTCCGCGCTCTGCCTTTCTGGACTCTTCCAGCAGCACACTGGCGAAGGGTGGCTGAGCCCACCTCGGAGACCGCCAGAGCTGCCCAGAGCCAGATTTTGAAATCCTGGTGACACTGGCACAGCTCACCGGGCTCTGAGCAGTTTGAACTGCAGACACCTCAGGCTGACAGGACAAGGCAAGCCTGGAAGCCCTTCAGAGCGCAGCGGAGCCTGGAGGTGCCTGGGATGGACCAGGCTGGACCAGGAGGTTCCTGGCGTGGTGTGCAGATCAAAGGGGCCCCCTCCGCGTGGGGAGTGAGGGCCTGCGGGCGGGCCCCTTCCTCATCAGCCAGCCATCGCTCTCCCCCGGCTCGCCTTTGCACGTGACCTGGCCGCAGTGTGCAGCAGGCCTCAGTGTCCTCCCTGAAGTCCTCAGGTGCTAACTCCGTAAACATCTCTCCCACTCCCGAACTACCTCGGATCCGAGCCTCCCTGCCGCAGACTGGGTCTTGGTCGGCTGTTTCGGGTGAAAGGTTTGAGGTTCAGGCCGGACGCTGAGTCAGATTATCGCATCTGGGAAGAGATTTACTAGGCGAGTTTTTAAACACCGTGGACAGACAGCAGATGGCGGAGGCGCCAGTGAGGCCCGCGAGGAGAGAGGGTTCCCACAGGCCCAGAGGAAGGGGTTTCAGGTAGCCAGGCTGTGTCTGCCTTCCCAGGAAGCATGGGGACAGGGGTCTTGCCTTGCCGGGAGGGAATTTGCACACTTTGAAGGGTGCGGGGCGGCGAGGAGGAGGAGCGCTCGCTGTGGCGCGGGCGCGGGCGCGTGTCCGCCTGCACGTCCCAGACGCCGCTAACCGGAGCCTTCGGACTTCTAGGGAGAAGGAAATGGCCCAGGAGTCCAGGCACCGGCAGTGAAGGGGTTAGGGTGCTGTAGAGTCAGGCATGCTCCACTAGGGGGCGCGTGTCTCAGCTGCTGCGGCCGGGAGAGCGCTCTGCCGTCAGCCCCTTCAGTGAGTTTTCTCTCTCAGCGCATGTCAGGCGGCTCACAACCCCGCATAGCTTCAGCTCCGGGGCGTCTGAGGCTCTCTTCTGGCTTCTGTGGTAACCACACACACGTGCACAAACACCTGCACACTTAAAGCAAAAAATCCCCCAAAAGGAAACGGGGCCTTGGTGTGAGCAGGAGTCTCGTCTGGCCTTAAGCAGGGAACGCTTCACCCTGAGGAACATTTGGTTTCACCACCTTGCTCTGGCTCAGGTCTCTGGAGTGGTTGCAGTTAGGAGACCTGTTGTGACTGGGGATTCCAGAAGAAGGCTTGGGCACACGAGGACGCCGCTGAGGGCTTGTAAACTGAGAGTCTCATCCTGGAGACGCAGTAACCCGCGGACACGCAGATGAGAGAAGGGAATAGCAAGCAGGAGGCGCCCCCGCCCGTCAGGAGCAGCTGGAATGTGGAGGTGCCCAGGAGGTAGGACCTTCACTGCCCAGGTCTAAGATGCAGACCCCTGCCCATCTGCTGTGTCAGATGCCATTGCTTTGTTACACCAACTTTAACTTTCGCATTTACGTTAACTTTAACCTTTTTAACTTTTTAAAAAGTTCAGACACGTTGAGACAAGAGAGGAAGATGGAGAGTCAGTAGGAAAGGCCCGTGCAATCAGCGTCAACACACCCAAGAAAGCAGCCGGCAGAGGGGAAGCCTGGGGACTGTGCCCCCGTGCCCACACTTGGACACAGCGGGAAGTGCATGCCCGAGAGGACCCACACTGTGCAAACCCCATCTTTTCAAGTTAAAAATCAGAAGCATTTACTTTTATTTTTATTTATACGGGTGTTTTGCCTGCTATGTGTGTGTGCACTGTGTGTGTGTAGGTCAGATTCCGGACTCCCCAGGCCTGGATGGTTGCAGGCCTCCAGTGGAGGAACCAAACCGGGGTCCTCTGCAGGGACAAGTGTTTCCGGCTGCCGAGCCATCCCCCAGGCCTGCCCCATTCACACAGCTGTGCCCCAGAGCCTCATGCCATCCTCCTGCTCTGTCCAGTGCCTCCCTTGCACCTGGCCCTTTCTCACTGTGCACACTGTCTCTGCTTCTGGGAGCATCCACGTCTCTGCTTAGTTCCTTCTCTAGAATGCAAGAACTTAGAATGGGTGTCAGTGGTGTTCTCCGGCCTCTTGGCCCACTGGTATCAGCATGAGCCTCTGCAGGCCAGCAGGTGGCTCAGTGAGCAAAGCAGCTGCTGCCCAGTGAGCACTGAAGGCAGAGATCCCGAGTGCAGGGCATCCCATCAGAGCCCAGCTGCTGCCCAGGCCACGGCACTAACAACCCTTCCTCTCAGATAACACACTCTGTGAACAGCTGCCAGGACCCGAGTTTACCTCAGTGGTCACTGGTGGCCACTCGTCCTGCCTCCCACCCCATCCCTGCCTTCCTGGACATCCCAGAGCTGGCACAGGCCTGTGCGGCCACACCTGTTCCATCCTCAGAAGAGGCAGGGAGAGAGCCTCCCTTCTGCCATGTGGGTCCCAGTTCCTCTCCCCAGAGCCACTGCCGGGCTGTGTCTGGCGCCAGAACTGTGCTCAGAGCCCCCAGCGCACTGTTGTCTGTCTGTCTTTGTGTTTATGGCATTAGTGACTCTTCTTTCTCCACAATGTTCCATTTCAGTGGCTCCTTGAACCCCCTCAAAGACCTTCACCTAGCAGCCATGAAAATGCTGGGAGGGTGTGGCAGCAAGGGTGGGCCTGAGTGGGAGACTGCCTGAGTGAACGAGGTGGAGAATTACCGAGGAAGACACTTCATACCAGCCTCAGGCTCCAAACACACGTGCCCGCACACCGGAACATACACCTACACACACCACATTCACAGACACGCAACAGCAGCCAGAGCTTCTGAGGGCCAGAGAACAAAGCCCAAAGGAGCTCTGTGTCCTTTGAGGTGTCCACAGTGGGTACACTGAGGGTGGCTGTCCGGACGGAGCACAGCGGAGGGAAGGCCTCCTCCACAGAAACGGCCTGGAGCCACTCTGGGTTAACAGGGGGCGTCAACAGCGAGTGCGTGCAGGGACCCTGGCCGTCCTTGGAAATCTTCACAATCATGTCAGCAGAACTGCCGCTCAAACAGCCTCTGACGTTCACCACTACGGATTCGTGAACTTCAGGTTTAAATACAAAAGCCTGTTTCTGGCAGAGAAGTTCTTTCTGCAGTGGGTGCTGAGCAGCGCAGAAGCCGCGGCTGGTGACAGTGTAGAGACAGGTGTCTGTGGGATAAGCCGAGCGAGTGCTGTCCCCGGGGCTCGGGGATCGTTGGGGAGAAGGGGTGGAGAGACCGGGTGGAAACCGCTTCTGTGGAAACCGAATCTGTGGACATGACAGGAACGCCGCCGCGATGAGCTCATGGCAGCTGCTGTGCCCACACAGAACTGTGAAGGGTTAAACAAGCCAGCAGTCTGTCCTGGAGTTGAAGGCACCTCCAGTGCCCAGCCCACAGCTGAGGTGCTGTGGGTAGCTGGCTGCCAGGTACAGGCAGAGGCGGTCTTCTTAGGGGCATAGGCCTGGTAGGTGATGCGGCAGGCAGAGCTTCACACTGTGCAAAAAAAGTTGGTGGTTATTTATTTATTTAGGATGTTCAAGATGGGGTTTCTCTGTGTAGCCCTGGCTGTCCTGGACACACTCTGTAGACCAGGCTGGCCTGGAACTCACAGTGATCCGGCTTCCTGTACCTCCCTGAGTTCTGGGATCACAGGTGTGTGCCACTGTGCCCAGCTCCATTATTATTTTTTTAAAGGCACAAACTTTGCAGTGGATGGGAAGCAGGGCTGGATCTGGGAGGAATTAGGGATGGGAGTGGGGGTGGATACGATCAAAACATCCTCAGCTCTCAGTGAATTCGTCCACTTCCTTGGTATTTATCCAAGCGCAGGGAGCGGACACGGTTCAAGACTTTGCACGGGAGCACTTTTGGCTGTTTATACACCAAGCCTGGAGACAAATGTCCTTCACTTGAAAACTGCTGCACAAACAGCTTCGGGTACAAAGTAACTTGGCAGGGTCATTGAAAACTGTTGGTACATTTACCAAAGTGAGGCTCACACAAATCAGCTTTGTCCCTGGGGACCCACCAGCTGGCACACTTGTGTAAGAGCAGAGCAGGACAGGCCAGTGGTTTCCTGGCCCTCTCCGCGCCTGTTCACCAACACGGTCCCAGACACTTCCTGAGGCCACAGTATAGCCAGTGAGCTTCCACCCCGAGTAACCCAGGGAAACAAGACACACTTCCCCTCCCAGAAGCCACAGTCTGGGCAGCCACAGTCTGTTGGCTCTGAGAAAGTTCCGAATAAGCCACAGAGCAAGGGAGTGGGATAGAAAAGTGATTCCGAGTGTCAGGTAGAAGACAGGAGCAGTGGAAGTGGCCAAAGGAAGTCCTACGGACAGCCCACTTCCTGTTTGCGCAGCCTGTCTGTCTGTCATAGGCTCTGACTCCAGCCCTCAAGGCCCAGCCTCACCGTCACCGACACGGCCATGGGGTCAATCAGGCCCTGAGCAGGTTCGGCCACGAGGAAGCAGGGGTGGCAGCTCTGCCGCGGAGGCAGCTCTGCCCCGGAGGCCGGCTCTCCTGCCATTAACCTGTGGCCAGCCGCCCTGGAGGCTGCGGCCAGGGAGCTCCCAGGACAGTGGAAGCTCAGGCGGTACCCCCCCCCCCCCCCCGCCGAGTGCATGAGTGAAGGTATTCATCCTCAGAGGAGCTCAGCTCGGTGCCATTTATGCTGTGCTTTTGATGTCCTCTTGGGGGCTTCTCTAGAGGATTATGGGAAGAAATACCCTGAAGGGAGACCTGGTCTGCTATGAGTTGGAGAAAGGACCACCTGTGACTGCACTTGACAGGGTGACCTTTGGTGTTAGGAGTCAGGGTTACAAGCCTGTACCCCAGCACTTGGCGGTGAAGACAGAACAGGTGCTCGGCTGGTCTCCTCCAGTATGCTACCCGTCCCACCAACACTAAAAACCACCTGTGAAACTCACAATACAGCCGGGCAGTGGTGACCCATAATCCCAGCACTCGGGAGGCAGAGGCAGGCGGATCTCTGTGAGTTCAAAGCCAGCCTGGTCTACAAATCGAGTCCAGGACAGCCAGGGCTACACAGAGAAACCCTGTCTCAAAAAAAAAAAAAAATCACAGTACAGAACCCGCTGGGTAGCTCCCTGCCTTACTCCAGTGTCTCTGGACTGTTTGCTTTGCTAATTAGGTAAATTTTTGCCTGAAAGTACCTGTGTCATTCTGGTTAATTCTTTCCTTTGAAGAGACCGAGATGTTCCCATAATTCATGGGCCGGAAATCTTGAAGACATGCAGTAATGCTGAGACTGGGGACAGGCAGCTCCGGGGACGGTAAGGCCTACTCGCTAGGCACACTTGCTTGGTCTCGAGAGGCTTTAGGGTGGCCTGCTCCCCCCGTGCCCTAGTACAGATCCTTTATCTCTCTGCCCCAGTTCTTCTTTGTTAGGGTGACTGACAGGTGCCAGGTATAGTTAGTCACGGAGAGGGTGGGATCACCCCTTCCCCATGTGTGTGAGGGGGACTGCCCACTCCTGTGTGTGCTGCCACTATGTGCAGCCTGAGCTCACAGATTTGGCCAGTGAGCTCCGAGGAGCCTGGGCTGCACAGTGAGAGCTGGTTTTGGAAGCCGAGATTCCAAGCGTGCGTGCCCCAGTGTACTTGGCTTTGCACCTACGCGTCGGGAGCCGTTCCTCAGGTGTCCAAGCCTGTGTGGCAAGTCCTTCGCCCAGCCCAGAAGACTGCCCCTTGTTTGTGAAGGGCACAGGCTGCCTGCCTCACGGCTTAGGGAGGGGCGTGCACAGGCGTGTTTTATTTTCATACCTGGTTGGGGGATGACACCAGTGCCGTCGCTTTACCACTGTTCTTCCGTGAGCTGGAGTTACTTAGAGAGTTTGTTTCAAGACGGAACCCGCCAGCCAGAGAAAGCTCACACGGTGTTACACACCACAGGTGGTCGATGGACGTGTCTCACAGCACATCCACGGCGCCGGTGCCGGTCCAGTCACTGTGCGGAGCCACCTCCCCCTTCGGGGCTTCTCAGGCCGCACCCGGCCCTCCCGCGGCGACGCGGCGACGGGCGCAGCCGCCGGCAGGCCGTGGCCCTGAAGCAGCCCAGCGGTCACCCCAGCCCATGCTCCTGGTAGCATTGCAAAACCCAGGCCGCCGCCCGGTGACGCCTGTGAAAGCGGAGAAGAGGCCCAGCCGGCCCTGCCTGGGCTGCAGCCAGCTCTCCCGTCCTGGCCTGCGGCGCGGTTGTGTCTGTAGCCTGACTCTCTGACCCCTCCACAGAGGAAGTCAGCGGGCTGCTGAAGGGAGGCCTGGGCTGGGAGCTTTCGACAGGCCGTCCAGAGCCTTTGGTGTGTGGCGAGCCCTTCAGCTCCCTCATGCTTTATCTTCTTGGAAAATGAGTCCCCCGAGGGCCCAGCTGTCTCGCCCCTGTCCCAGGCCGACTCGAGGCCCACACCCAGGCCCCCTCGCCCAGCAGCCTGCTGATCGCTACAGGCGCGGTGTCCCAATCACTCAACATTTCCTCACTCTGCTCTCATTTCCCGTGCACCATGGGACCTCAGCAGGGCAGCCAGAGTCCCTGCACCCCACTGCTTGGCATGGAAGGGGACAGAAATGGACATTTTCTCAACCGGTTCACGGAGGCCTGCCCAGGTGGCAGCCTGAGGGACCGTGTGTTGTAAGACCTGGGGTCTCACAGCTCAGGAGTTCAAGATCGCGCCCTTCCCAGAAACTCGCCCAGACCAAGACTCATTGCAAAAGCAAGAGGCTTATTAACCATTGCACAATGGGGTCACCCCTGCCAGTCAGCAAAGACTGGCACCGGAGACAAAGGCCTTTAGGTTTTTAAAAGAAAAATTGTGGGAAATTTGAAGTTGCAGTTTTGGCAATTTAGGATTGGATGAGGAAGCTATAAAGTAAGATAATTGGTTAGTCTTAGGTGCTCAAGCTTGGCCAGTCCTGCCAAGTGTGGATGCAGCTGCAATTGAAGGTGGGGTGGTTAGCTCATCCTTGAAGATTAGGGCTGCGGACTCTTGGCTGGAGGTCAAAAGCTACTCAGAAGAAGTCTGGGTTCGTTGCTAAGAAATGCTATCTCAAAGACAAGGGTCTGGTCCTTTTTTTTGCTGAGTGAAGGTCATTGCTTGCTTGCCCTTTTTTTTTTTATATCTGTCCTCACAGATAGGGTCACATTCCTCCATTCTCTGGAAAGGCACTAAGAGGCTTTAGCTTAGCCTGAACCTAAAACTCAAGGCTATAGGCTTTAGAAGACATACAGGTTACAGTTAGTCTGGCCCTTTCAGTGTGACGGTCGTCCTGAGCTGCCGTGGAGCGAGAACATGGCCCCCTCAGACACTAGAAGGCTCCGGGTCAGGCTGGAGGACCCGCATGGGGCCAGGCCCTCAGGTCTCATAGTCCCTTCTGGTGCACTATCTGGCTCCACCCCCCATGCCGCCCTAGCACCGCGATGGACTGTGTCCCCTCCTAAGCCCTGAGCCCACACTCCTTTAAGTGGCTTCTTCTCCGCTGGCTACAGCAGGAAGTGTTACCACTCAGAAGGTGGAGCTAGCGTACTGCCTGCGCTGCTGAGCCTGGGTTCAGGTGGGAGGCCTGCCCCAGGGAACAGGGGTGAGCACGGGGAGAACCAGGGTGAGACTCCCCATGTTGGCCTGGAGGGTCCACACGTGAGCAGAACATGCGAACCTGCCCCCACAGCGCACAGAGGCGTGGGCAGAGGAGAGCTGTTCCAGTTCAGAACAGAGGGTGCAGACAACCTGCCGGGCGGAGGCTGACGGTGTGGCGAGGAGTGGTCGAGCCCCTATCCAAGTCCTGTAATTTAATGATCTCATCTCTAATTTTCCTCCTAAAACGGAGCTTTGGGCAGAGTAGACACGGGGTATACACGGATCCTAGAGCAGCATGCCTTCAGCCCAAGCACCCGGCACTGTTGATCCTCCTTTTCATCTGGGCTGTGACCCAGGACAGACCCTGGGGGGGGGGGGGAACTCAGTGGAGAGTTAAAATGTTGCAGATCCAGAGCTGGTTCACAGTCCAGCTCTGCTGCAGACCTAACATCTTTGTGACTGTCAGGTTAATCCTTTTGGAATAGATCTCGGAAGACTACTGGCACAGTAGTCAAGAGCTAAGACTGTTACCAGCTGGTTTCTGAGACCCATGGCAGAGACTTCCCTGCTGTGCATAGCCGGCTGCAGAAAAGAGCCTTGTTTGACGATTTTTATGACTTCCTTTGTGCTGTAACTGTTTGTAACGGTTCATAAAACTGTGTTTGGGGGACCCTGAACCCTGGTTGAGGAGGAAGCTGTGCTTTAGCAGACAGCGGTGGGAAGGTGAAGGCCTTACCCTGTTCTTAGCGGTTTAGCCTGCACTGGGTGCTTTTCCTTTCACCCTTCCAATCCCCTGAGACTAGATGGGAGAGAAAAATGTACAGGGGGGAAGAGGGTAGCAGCAGCTGCAGGCTGCTTCCTGCTGATTAGGGCTGTTGGGTTCCTTGGGGCAAGTTTGATCTTCACTGTCAGGACATCTAATCTCTTCTTGTTCCTTTGCAGACGACTCCCTGACAAATAGCATCCAACAGCATCCAGCCACCAGCCAGCACACATCTATCGAGGCGCTAGCATCTATGTGCCCTCTGAAAAGTCCCTGGGATTCCAAATGTCACACAATCCCAGAAACTACCTGCAGCTGGCAAAGCTACGCCTCTGCCTAGAGCACAAGGCAAATCATAGCCCACTGCTGGGAAGCGGCCCCAGATCCCCACACCTGGGATTAAAACAAAAACATGTTCTTAGAATATGTGTGTGTGTTTTAAAAGAAACCAAATCACACAATTCTCACTACAAGTGTGTTCAATTCCCAGAGGCCCTGGGAGTGTTGAAAACAAGTCAGAGGAAAGAAACTGGCAGCTGAGAGCTGGCGGCGGCTGTACCCCTCCTGCTTCAGGCTGCCTCGCTGAGTCTGCAGGAGAGCAGACAGCTGGCCGAGGCCAGGTTCTCAGAGCCAGAACAAGGATGTGGCTACTGAGTGCAGAGGCCACCGTCCACCTCTGTTTCATGGTGCCCGGAGGAGTCCTGGAGAGCAGATGCCACGTGACCCAGAAGAACTGCCTCCCAGCGTGGACGCCCTAGCACACTTCGGAATGTTCAGCAGTTGTTTTTCGTTTGTGTTTACTGTGGAATATTGGTACTTTAATTCTTAACTATGTGTAGATGCGGGTGTCTGTATTAATGAGTGCCCAAGGAACCCAGAGAGGTCATTGGCTGCTCTGCAGGTGGAGCTTGAGAGCCGCCCGATGTGGGTGCTGACACAGAGCTCAGGTCCTCTGGGAGAGCTGCAGGCCCTCGTAATTGCTGACTCATATTTCCAGCCCCCACGAGGCAGGGTCTCACGTGGTCTGGGCTAGCCTCAGACTTGCTGTGTAGCTGAGCAGGGCTCCACGCCCCTCACCCTCCTTGCTGGGCTTACGGGTGTGCATAGTCCCCAGCTATGCGGTGGGGGCTCTTCAAGGAGCAGGTGGGAAGTTCTGTCTTGGGGGAGTGAACGGGCCCTGATCTGGAAGGAGAGGGAAGAGCAGGAGCACAGGAACAACAGTCACAAAGACACTGAGAAGGCGTGGTGTGCGGTGGGGGACAGGGACCTTTGTCTGGGATCCCTGCTAGCACACTCTCCAGAGCAGCACAGCCCGTCCCGAGGGCGCTAGCACAGTGTCCACCTAAAGGCTTTACGTGGCGCCTGCGAGTGTGCGCAGGCGTGTGCGCGGGAGGAACGTCATCCACCTCGTTTTGAGACAGGGTCTCCCATTTGCCTGAGACCTCTCCGTTGGAGGCTCGGCGGCCGGCCCGCCCCGGGAGAGGCCGCCCTCGTGGCTGGGGTCGCACAGCGGTGGGCAGCTGCCCCTTGCTCTCTGCCTCCTGTCACGTGAACAGGAATGCAGCACCTTGTTATCCTGTCAGAGCAGGGAGGGGAGAACCAGCAGGGAACTGTGTCAAAGGCCACAGATCAGACCCAGTTAAAGGCATCCATGTCTAAAGACACTTTCCAGATGAGGCCAGGCAGAGCGTAGGAGGCCCTGCCGGGGAAAGGGGGTCCTCCATTAGCCCTGAGCTCAGAAAGGCTTCCAGACTGGGAGGGCTGCAGCCTCAAACATCCGGGTCCTTCCAACAGCAGGAGCCTTACCCACTGAACCACCTCCCTTGTCAAGGGAGATGTTTTGATGAAGAAAGAAAGAAAGAAAGAAAGAAAGAAAGAAAGAAAGAAAGAAAGAGAGAAAAAGAGAAAGAAAGAAAGAGAGAGCGAAAGAAAGGAAGAAAGAAAGAAAGGAAGGAAGAAAGAAAGAAATGAACCAAGACAAGAGGCTGGGAATCGTGGGAACAGTTGCACAGGTTCCCATTGGTGGAAGCGGCTCTGCTCCTTCTGTAGTCCAGAGCTCCACATGTGCCGGGATGTGCTGAAGACGCACGCCAGTCAGAAGGCCAGAGCGGGTTGCTCTGTAGCCAGCAGACAGCATCTCCCAACTTGAGGAAGGCTGAGAGCTGACTCAGTCTTTCCTGCAGGGCAGCTTGGAGCCCAGAGCAGCAAGACCCTGGGAGAAGGCCACACGATCCGATCCCTCGATCCCTCCTCTGCTCAGGGAGGCCAGGCTGAACTCACCCCTGGGATACAGGGGAGTGGAGAGCGAGGCAGGCCCAAGCAGGATCCTGTGCCAGCACATCTGCTGAGTGCCGGCAGGCTGTGGCAGCTCACAGACTGCCCCATGTGGGGACAGGGCCAGGCATGCTGTGCAGAGGCGCAAGGACCTGACTGTAAGCCACTTGTGGCCTAGGAGGGAGCCATATCTGCACGCAAATAACAGCTCATCCCTCCCAGACCTGAGAGGAGCCAGAACTGTTTCAGAAACAGCTGGAGAGTTGAGGGGCTGGGCAGGCTAGAGCTGGATGGTGAAGGCTGCCCACAGACAAGGGTTCTTGGGTTTACACTCCCTTGCAGAACAGGGAAGCAGGGTTTCCCGAACGCTCCTAAAACGGAGCCCCCTCCCAACCCCTCTTCTCTGACTCCCTGGCTGCCTGTGGCTGCTGTAACCCAGCTGGTAACCATCCCTGGGGTGGGGAACAGTTCCTCTCAGTGCTGCAGGAATTTGGGCAGATACTGCCAGCTGTCCACTTGGGCTTCTTGGTCATGACTCCAGAGGCCTGGCACAAGGCTGATGGAAGGGAAAGGACTCAGGGTCTGAGCTTGGTGGCACTGGGAGCTGGATGTGTGACCCGAGGGCAAAGGAAGGACCTGGGCCATGTTACTGATAGGGGGACATTTGCAGCTTTCTCTTGGGGTTGTTAGAATCTAAGAGCAACTCAGATAGAAGCCCAAGGACAGTTTTATTAATGTTTAAAAGCTGCCCAAGGCAGGTGAGCTGTAATTCAGCAGCTGCCTGAAGGGGAAGAAGGGAAAAGGTCTCGTCTTTGTGTTAAGTCTCGCCATCTGTGTTAGGCCAGCACAGGGGTCAGGCACGCAGCAGGGAGGGAACTCAGAGAAAGAATGTGGACGGCCCAGTGCTCCAAAAAAAGCCCACGTAGGCTCTGGCCAGTATCAGAAAGAAAGAGCTGAAACAAAGACATCCTAAAATTGGCACTTCATGAAGGTGGGCAGACCCAGGTGAGCCTCATACCTCATTGAGGCTCAGCTAGTAGGGACAGCTAGGGAGGGAGGTCCTGGGGAGAAGAGGTCTAGCATGTCATTGAAAGACTCACTGCTGTTTGCACCTTTGTAGCATTGCCAGGGTACATCTGCCTTCCGAGATGTAAGCTCTCCTTCCTGAGCCTTCCAGCCAGGTCGCTAACCAGCTGGAGTGGGAGGCACCAGCCAGGCCAGAGGTTTCTCCATCTAGTCCCTTATGGGCCTCCACTGCCGCTATGTCGGGGCCAGGCAGCTCTTTTGCTCCTCGTCTCTGGGGTCCTGACAGTTTCCTGCAATCCACCGGTTTCAGGGAAAGGCCAGCCTTGCTGGGAAGTTGTTTTGGTGAGTTCTGTGGAAACCTGGCTGCCCTTGCAGAGCTGTGGACTTCCTCCATTTTTCCCGCACTCCAGAGAGTGTATCATTTGAGGTACTACAGCTGGGGAGTGACACACAGCCAGATGACAGCCTCTGACCCCATCTCAGCTGGGCAGGATGCAGGTGTGTTGATTTAAACAGGAGAGGAGACAGGTGGGCCAGCAAGGTAAATTGGGTCAGTCACAGAAGCAAAGAAACAAGCCTGTCTATAATGATCTGAAGAGAGAGAGAGAGAGAGAGAGAGAGAGAGAGAGAGAGAGGAGCTTTCTACACATCTGTAGTAAATTTCCAGAGGACACAGGCAGAGAGACCACTGGCCACAGAATGCCAGCAGTTGGCTGACACTCAGCCATCCGTGGATGTCGGAAGTGTGTATGAATGGTCAGTGGCGCTAAAGTCAGCGTGATGAGAAACAAGCTATCTGCCTGCCCTCTAAGCGGCGGACCACAGGCACTTGCGAATTATAAAGGAAAAAAAATAGTGAAGTCATTGTGGGCACATAAAGTTCTACACATGAGCTGGTTCTCTAAAACCACCAAGGCTGGACAAGACAAAGCAAGGCCACAGTGCTGTTCTGGGTGGAGGAACTAACGAAACTCAGGAAGCACCATGTGCTGTCCTCAGCCGTCAGCGGGACAGATGGTAAGACTGGAATCACATGAGTGCCTCAGTCCATCTCCTGCTGCTCTGACAAAATCCCAGCAGCTAATACTTGGTCAAGAAAGAGGCTGAGAACCAGTGAGATAGCTCAGTGGTTAAGGATGCTTACCTGTGTGTGTGCGCACACACACACACTATATACACATATATGACACATGACATACATATATGCACATCTATACATATATAATATTTTAAAGAGAAGAAGTTGGCTTAACTTGTGTTCTGGAGGGTCAGGGTGGGGACAGCCTCTGCCCCACTCTGGTGAGAAGCCTCAAGGCAGATGACATTACAGTTCTGGGAACATGTCACGTGGTCAGACACGAGTAAGAGCAGCAGCCGGACAACTGAGCTCACTTACTAACAACCTGCCAACCCCACCCTCCTCGAGGTCTCCGCCTCTCCTGAGGCCAGTCCCTTGAGGCCCCCTCCTTCGCAGAGCCACTCTGGGACTAACCTTCCAGAATGTAAGTGTTTGGAGCCGTTCAGACTGTGGCATCTGCGCGTGAGCTGGCAGTGCGGTTCACTGCTCACTTGCCATCTCTAGATCTCTCCGCTGTGGTTACCTGGGAAAAGCTAACTGACTAACTGCGAGAACACGGTTGCTAAAAATCGTTTTACAATGAGGAAAGAGCTGGGTGGGCAAAGAGAGAGCCCAGGCCCTAGAAACTGAGCTCTTCTCCGGGAGGGAAGCAGGCTCGGGCCGGGGCTCTTCATTGGCTTGTGCTCCATCCCCCGACATGCTGCCATTGGTCTCTGGGCCCTTTGGCAGACATCAGGTCGGCCTACCGGAAGCCTTCAGGGCAGTAGCAGGCCTTGCTCCTCCGGTATCACTCCCTGCTCCTCGGAGAACTGCTGGCTAGCCTCATGGAGGGTTTGGTCCTCTGAGAGAAGCCCGTCAGATCTTGCCCTCCGGTCTGGCGGTCTGAGGACACAGAGACGGGCAGTACCGAAGGTCATGCTTACTTCTCATGTCTGAAGGACCAACCCCACCCTCAGCCCAGTGCTGGCACAGGCCTGTAATCCCAGAGACGGGCAGATGGCGAATCAAAGGCAGCATGAGCTAGGTGGCATGTCTGAGGTCACCTGGACTACAAAAGGAGACCCCGTCTCCAAAACAATGTAAGGGGTTGCGGTGGCACGGCAGAAGCTGGCAAGTTAGAAGCAGGAGGCTGCTTTGGCTATGTGAGGCCTGTCTCAGCAGTCAGTCGACCGAGACATCACCTCCAGGTGAGTGCGGGCCCAGGCCAGCTCCGAGAAAGCAGCAGGGAAGTCACGGTGTATCATAGCTCCTGGGTGCAAAGCACTTCACGGACGGTGCTGCCGGCACCGAGCTCGCGGCCTGAAGGAGAACGTGCTGGGCCATCCGTCCTGGACAGCCAGACAGAGGAGCCAGCCACACACTGCTCGGGGCACAGCAGCAGCACATTGCATGCTCACACTCACCCATTCATTCACTCGTCGGGCTCATTCATCTCAGGCGAGTTCCCAGCTGGCTGACAGACATTGAACTGTTAGCACAGCCACCATGAGTCGGAGGGAGAAGGGAGAGAAAGATGGTGGGAAGCCTGGGAGCTGACCTGGTGCATAGACCCAGCAAGCAAGGTCCCTCTAGGGGCCTGGATGGGCACAGCTGACCGCTGGGTGGAGCTGGGGAGACCAGCAGTATCTCATGGGGTTGAACCCAAGCTGCCACGCTGAGTTGGTGTGCTTGGCTCAGCTACTGGGCGGTCGAGAACTGCGTCCCAGGGGCTTGGCTCACTGCAGCGGATGGGAGGATTTAGGAGGGAGAGCAGTATGCTTCCCGAATCCCGGGAAACCAGGATGTGTGTCCTGAGAGCCACATTCACTCCGCACGCCCCTGAGGAAGAGGCAGCAAGCACTGGGCCCTGTCAGACTCCGATGGATGTCGAAGGCAAGCAGGCCTGGCTCTGGTAGGCGGGGTGGGCTGTAGGCTGCAGTGCTCTCAGTGGCCTGGGCCTGGGCGAGGGAGTGGGAGCCGTTTTCACCAGGGGAGAGCTCTCTCCCTCTTGCTTGTGGCCCTGCGTTGTGGAGTCTGAGGGTCAGCACTCAGGGCTTCCCTCCCAAGGTGGAGATCTGCCCTCTGGGGTCCACTCTGTCTTCTTGCTGGAGTTAGAATCAGTCTGGGCCCTGAGTCTATTGCTAAGCCAGGTTCAGCCACCAGTTTCCAGCATGCCGGTGAGACACAGATTTATTCAATGTGGCTGCACTGGAAGAGGGATAATAAAGGGGTCCTCCAGCTTTGGGGACCTCTTTGGGGTCCTGCCATGAAGCTTAGGCTTAAACAGAAGGTGAGAGGCTTGCACAGCTCAGCAGTCCCAGGCGAGGAACCTGTGGCTCAGAGTGGGTCAGAGGCCATTCTGGGATCCCCTAGTCTTTCTTTGGATGGTACATTGATCTGTTTTCTGTCTATAGGGATGGTAGAGGTGATTCATCTTAAACTCAACAAAACGACAGGCTGTGTGTGTGTGTGTGTGAAAAAACAAACAACAAACCAAACAGGTTAAAAAGAAAAAAAAGTCAGGGAGGAGGCTGGAAAATCCTGAGTGTGCCTGCTTTTCCAGTGCTGAGGGCTGGTCTGTCTCCTCCTGTGGTGTGAGCGCCACAGACACCCCAATAAAGCCAGGAGGAATACAGGCTCAGGGAGCATGGGCGCTTCCTAGACCAGCTGTAGAGGCAGGCAGGGTTCAGGGCAAGACACACAGACAGACAGACATGCTGAACTGTCCTGATAGCCATATCTGCCCAGGAAGGATGTGGAGAGATTTGGCATCATTCTAACTTCTCTCTTGTTTATACAGCACATTTTGCGTGAATCATTTTACTTGTATTTATTTGTGTGTGCCTGTGCCTTTGGAGGCCAGAGCCCAACCATGGTGTCAGCCTTTAGTGACCATCTGCCTGATTTTTTGTTTTTGAGGCAACGTCTTTCACTCGTCTAGAACCCACTGATTAGGGTAGACTGGCTGGCCAGTGAGTCCCAGGGTTGACCCGTCTCTGAGTCCTCAGAACCAGAATTACAGACATGCTATCAAGCTGAGCTTTTTACATGGGTTCTGGGCCCTGACTCTGGTCCTCAAGCTTGCAAGGTAAATAGTTTAGAGACTGAAGCACCCCTCCCCGTTAGTCATCAAGAAAGATAACATTTTGGGGCTGGAGAGATGATTCAGTGTCTAGAAGCATTTCCAGATGTCCCAGGTTTGGTTCCCAGAACCCAGTGCTACCTCACCACTGCCTGTAATCCCAGTCCCAGGGGTTCTGACACCCTGTTCTGGCCTCCGTGGGCACCAGGCACACTCCCGTTCAGCCAGGAAAATATTTACATAATAAAGTAAAATTTAAAAAAGAGAGGGAGAAAGAAGAACAACAGGCTAAAGAGGACAGCGTGCTGGGTCCATGTCTGCAAAGCTCCTGCTCGGGAAGCGGGGGTAGGAGATTAGTGAGCGTGAGGCCAGCTCACACTGTGAGACTTCGTCTCCACAATCAAAGTGAAGGGAACAGAGCAAGAGGAGGAAGGCCAGCGCTTCGGGCCCCCGGAGCGGCACCTTCTGTTGTGCCCCATGGCCCCGTACATCCTGGGAAACCAGAGCAACACCTGCTGCTCCGCTGAAAGGAACCGAGAAGGGCAGACAGGACAGGGTACGGAGGGCCCCAGGGAGCACCCAGCCCTGCGGAAATATCAACAAGGGTTACTGATACCAGACAGACTTTGTCAAGTCTGTGAGTGTGGACCAGGCAAAGCCGGCTACCTGTGAAGAGTCTTAAAGGGAACACTGAGGTGGATTGTGGGGGCTAAGGAGTCATCAACGCAGCAGACAGACAGACAACAGCATGGCTGTGAGGAGAGGAGATCAGAACCCTGATGCAGAAGTGGGATCTCCTCTTAGACCTTCTGAGGATGGGGAGGTTGGCCAGCCACAGCCAGGCACGTGGCAGGGAAGGGGCCGGAGGCAGGATGTGTGATCCCCTTGGTGTGGACTCACTCCCCGGGCGAGAGGTCCTGGCACCTGCAAGTCCTTCAGCGAGGGACTCACAGACAGCGCCTCATCCGGAGCCTGTGTTGTCTGGGAGAGGAGGAGGCTGCAGCCCAGACGCAGCGTGCTTGAGGCTGTCACTTTCCATCTTGGTTCAGTTCCTTGGAGCCATTTCTGCAGTCTCTTCAGATCCTTGTGCCTCTGCTGTAAATCAGAGGTCACATCCAGACGGGGGCAAAGATGAAGGCTAACGCAGCACAGTTCCTTTCCGGCCACTCTCTGTCAGGGCCCAGGCCTGGCTGAGAGGATGCCGGCAGGCTGAACCAGTCCTTCGCTGCGCACAGCCAGCTAGCTTAGACAGGGAGACTGACTGGTGGAGGGCATTCACCTGTGGAGCCTGGCTTTTGTCTGCAGGCTGGCTGGGCCTGAGGCTCCCACAGCACTCCCCCAGTGGTCCTGGCCCCGTGTGGGTCATTCTGGGCCCCCTCCCTAACTGTGCCCAATAGGTGTTGGGCTTGTTCTGCCATCCAGGATGCACCAGCCCCTCATCCAGTGAGGCCAGCTAAGCAGGAGCAGGCTAACATCCAGCTCCTCACTACCTCCAGGCCCGTCCCCGCTTTGTCCTCTCAGGGGCCAGCCTGGGCTCCAGGGGTGGGTCTCAGCTCAGGTGGCTCCAGCCGAGTGACTTTGGCCAGTTCCTTTGACTTTGACCAGTCCTGTCTGGTCCCTCACGGAGATGAAAGTGTACTTGCCTTAGTGCTGTTTCAGAGATGGAATGAATGAGAAGCTGAGAAGTCATGAGACTTCAGGGCCCTGGCCTGTGGTGAGTGCTGTGTAATTGCTGGGTAGCAATTTAATAACTGACGGCTTAAGTCCTTGAGGGAGGGAAGGAGAGAGCCCAATGCTGCCCCCAATTCCCTAGAGACAGACTTTTGGTGCCTGGCATGCCTATCTGTGTGCAGCTCTTTTGAGGCCAAAGGATGCTCTGCAGCTAGTTGCTGGGGCTGTCCCACCATCTCCAGCTACAGCTGGGCCAGGAACAATATCAAGAATGTAGCACCACTGGGCTGAGGGCTAGAGGGGCCATCTGAAGCCGAGCAAGTGGATCCCCAAAGCGATCAGGGGCCTCCTAGGGAAGGGTGGAACAGGTTGAGGCTCTGGGCTGGCCATGCTCTGGGTTACAGGCTCCTGAGGCTGCGGGGGCAGAGCTGGCCCCAGCTGTGCCTGGGAGGAAACAACATCAGAAAGGAAAAGCTGAGTGGAGAGAGGGAGGAGAGAGGCAGCCCCACCGTTCAGATGCCATCATTCTGCCAACGCTATCCTGATGCACGGAAGAGTCCTGGAGACACGGCTGTCACCCTTGGAGCCCCCAGACTAAGGGGGAGCCAGCTCTGTGTCCAGAGGGTAAAGGAAGGCCGGCCAGGATACCCTGTGTGAGTGCCAGGGGCCAGGCAGGGGTGCTGCAGGGAGGGGTGGCCTCGCGGGTGCTTATGTCATGGCTTGGTTTGCTGGTCCTGGGTGAGGCAGCAGAGGCACTGAGCAGCTCAGCGGCCTCTGCAGTCCAGAACCTGTGAGGTCAGGTTCATCTGGTGTGTTTGAACAGTTTGCACATTCATGGCTTGCATAACCTGCAGGACACGCTGCTAGGATGGGCAGAGGTCAGCCTCTTGGGAGACCTACCTACCTGACCTCGTCCTTAAGAGCTCTTGGCTGGGGGCAGTGGGAGAAGGAGGGGTGCCTGCCGCAGCACTGGGGTCTGAGCCTGTAATGGGGATGAAGGTCCAACAGACAATTTGAGTTGAGTGTGGGGGTCTCCAAGTGTGGGGAAGTGCCCACTGTGGCCTCTCCCACATGCTTGGTGTCTCCTGTCACGGACTGCAGTTTTGGTTGCTGCACAAAAGCTCACAGACTGCCTGCCAAGTTCATGTGCCGGCTGCACACCCTCAGGGCCCGATCCAGACTCCTCAGCCTTCTCTGGCCTAAGCTGCTCAGGGCAGAAGCTCTGCCATGGGAGCCAGGTCTTTAAGATTTAAGGTGGTGGAAGGGAACCTCGGGCCGAGGGACAGCATTTCGCCCTGGAGTTTTCACTCCATCCAGCTCCTCCAAGGCTCCAGGAACTGGGTGTTAACTCATCATGCCTTCTTCGCCATCTGGAACATGGAAGTCTCCGTAAACGCCTTTGAGCATCCAGTGGGGTAGTTCCAGGCGAGCTCAGGTCACGTGGTATGGCCCACAAAGCCACGTTTCCCTGACAGTAAGCTCACGTGGCAATGCCCACAAGGCCACGTGCCATAGGGATAGAACTATGGGTGTTGTTTGTTTGATTAATTTTGGTCTTCTTAGGTTTTATTTTATTCTATTTTACTTTATTTGTGATGGGTTCTAATGTACCCTCATCTCATCTTGAACTTGCTGTGTAGCTGAAGATGATCCTAAACTTCTGACCCTCCTATCTAAGCACCCCGAGTTCAGGGACTGGAGACGGGCACCACCACAGCCTAGGCTTAGGAGAGGGAAGCTCAGCTGAGGTTGACCTTGGCAGCCCTCTGACTGGGAGCCCTTTGAGCTTCTCTGGGTCCCCAAAGCTCCCCTGCAGAGCCATCTTCACCACCTGCAAACTCACGCTAAGGTGTGCCCAGCTCATTCCTCTCAAGGTTTTAACAGAAAAGTCAAATGAACGTAAGGAAAGTGAAAATGGCAGGAGCTTACAGCCCCTCACCAGTTCCAGGCCTGCCCAGCGGCCAGGCAGGTATGTGCCATCCATCCGTGTGCACAGGAACATAGTTGCAGAGTCAGCTGGGTCCTGTTGATCAAAGTGTTTCGAGGCGAGTTGCTTCAGAGGCCTGGAGAACGTCCCAGAGTGTGGGGGAAGGGAGACCTTCAGAAGTGGCTTGGATCAGACTGAAGCTTCTGACCCTGACTTTGATCTAAGCATCTGTGAGGTTGCATATTTGCTAAAGCAAAAGTCAGGGACTTTGAGAAATCAGGTCAAGATCAAGGCCAGGGCTGGAGGTGCAGAGAGCAGCTCGATGCAGTTATCAGCCATCTGATGAGCCCTGAGCCTCAGCAGGGTTCCCTCACCTGTACCCCTCCTCAGCTCAGCTCCTGACACCAGCCCAGGAACGGGAGGTGCCTGGGGTCAGGAGAGGCCATGTGCACAGGACCGGAGCAGGGACCCAGCAAGGCTGGCCTGAGAGGAGCTGGGTCCTAGAGAGAATTTCCCAGATTTGTGTATGACTTTCCAACATCTGGTCCCCATGCTATTAGACAGGAGCCCTAAGGCAGGGCAGAGGCCAAGGCAGAGTTCTCCAGGCCCCATGGGAGGGGTGACGCTCCCAGACCATTTTATTTTACCCAGCCTCGTGTATGCTCAAAGCCCTCTGTGAGCCTCCTAAGCCAGCAGCTCCTTCAAAATTCTTCTTAGAGGATAAAAACAATCCTTCTGCTGGAAAGAACTAGGGAAAGCAACGCAACGAATGTGAAAAGGAAAAACCACGCTACACAAGCCCCTTATAAAGCAGAATCATAGCAGCACATGGTGGCGATCCAGTTCTGGAGGTGAGGCAGGAGAGACTAGGCCATAAACAAACATGAGTGCGAACTGGACTAGCTGGAGAACAGGAGGCCGATGCTCAGGTGGAGCAGGTGTGTATTTTGCATCTTCTGGCCCATTAGCACCACAGCCCGTCCCCACTGGCTCACCATAGCGCCGCTGCCCTTTGCTCTCTCCTCCCCAAGGCCCCTCCCCTCTGGTGAACAGCACAATGTGCTGCACAGAAAGGCCCCTAGTCTCGCATTCTAACAGGGGAGTGACATTAGTCCTACAGCTTTGACCAAAGAGAAGGGCATCCTCTTTGGCTAAATGAGCAGCTTTGAGAGACAACATGGGGCAGGCAGTAGGAAACGGACGCACACTTAGCCAGCCAGCCAAGCTGCACCAGCCAGAGTGACCAGCGGATGCTCACAGATGTCAGGCACATCACGCTCTCATTCTCCCCTGTTCTGTCTTCCTGCCCCCTTCTTTCTCTCTCTTTCTGTCTATGTCTCTCTCTCTCCTTTCTTTCTCTGTCTCTCTCTTCCTCTCTCTGTGTCTCTCTCTTTCTCTCTCTCTGTGACTCAGTATAGGATTGAGCATGCTTTAAGTTCTCTCATCCGTGCTATAGTTCATGCTATTTCCCTGCTCAGCACATGGCAGTGCATAGGATAGGTATGGGTGCAGGCTTTCTAGATAGGACATCAAAAGCACAGGCGGGATGGGATTGTATGAACCAAACATGACAGAGGGGAGACTCATCAGAATCCTCCGGATTCTCCAGGGTATTATTCATCTGACAGGGGGTTAATACCAGGAGTATATAAGGACCTGAAGCCATTACCCCACCAAGCCATCTGATTTTAAAATGAGTAAATGATTAGCTGGGCATAATAGCACATGTCTGCAGTCTCAGTGCTTGGGAATGCAGGCGGGGGACCGGGTCACCTTCCGCCAAACAGCAAGTTCAAAGTCAGAATAATCAGAGCACAGGGAGCAAAACAAGCAAAAACAAGAGGGCAAAGATGCTGACACAGCAGCCAACAGTAACCCTACCGTGCCCCCAGAGTTAGCCTCAGCAGCCAGGGAGATGCAAATCCCACCACCATGCGGAATCCCTCCACTCCAGTAAGAAGTGCTAACATCAAACAGACAAAAAGGAGGGAGCAAGAGCGGGTTCAAAGCAAGCCTGGTCTACAGAGCGAGCTCTAGGCCAGCCAGGGTTACATAGCTGAGGATTGGTTTCAAAGCCAAACCAAACTAAACGAAGACAACAGCAGCAAACCCCCACGGTCGGGGTGCACAGAATAGGGCGTCCACGCTCTGCCTGAGGGGTGTAAAGGCGTGTAGCCACCGACACTTTGGCTCGGCCCGCTACCGTGGCAAGCAGCACGCACGTTCTAAAATGGGAACAGAACCGCTAAATGCCTGTGCATGTGCACCCTAAAATGCAGGTCTCACATGGGCTGAGAGATGAGCAGCTGCAGAGGCTGTGGGAGAGGCTGATGGACGGGGCGAGGAGGCAGTGCAGAGGAGAAGCTGGGGCTACAGCACGGTGCAGAGACTGTAGGTGAGTGTGCGGGCTTTGTATATTTTTAAAAGCTTGAGGACAGATTCTCATCAAAGCAGGGAGAAGCATGCCCACAAGAGAGGATTCAGGGCAATAAGGAGAAAGAATTCTGAAAAGAAAGGAAAGTCAAAACAGCAAGAGAACTGGAAAGGGAGCAGAGAAAATGACAAACAAATTTGCAATTAACAGTCAGAGTGCAACCAAGGCCAGAGGCTAATGGCTACCCCACAAACACCACAGTCAAGAAATCCACACTCTTTCCAAGCTTTAAATACCGTTACCCTCAGGGGATTTGATCAAAGATGACACCTGCATTTCTAGGCATGCAAAGAGGGAATCACAGCTATAGCTCTGAAGGCTCTTGGGCCTGGAAACTCACAAGCCCAGGACAGCCACAGATCAGGGTCCCCATGGGCATCCACTTGCACTGATTGGTTGGGAGATGTCATTCCAGACACCACGGTATGGGGGAGAGTGATGCAAAGATGCAAGTCTGCTGAGGAGTTGCATAATTGGGGGCTTGCTCTGTGATGGTGTAAGGGGATCCCTCCAGATAAGAGCACTCAGATTCAGTTTATAGCTAATTGAAAGTCTGTTTCAGCTGGCTGGGACCACACTCAGGCATTTGGGACATAAGTATAGCACTGGATGCCCAGAACAAGGGGTTAATGAAAGCAAAACCCACATCCTGGCCTCCCACTTGGTAGCTGCAGGGGCAGGGTCTGGGAGAGGGGCTTCATGCAAGCAAGCAGTTTAGCAGAAGCTGAGATAAGCGATTGGCTTGGAAGGGGAAGGAGCTTCTGCATAAGCAAACAAATTTAACAAGCTAGCTGGGGTATGTTGACCCCAGGCTTTTAGAAGAGAGTTGGATAATTTTCCATGAGATTCTCCATCAAGGAAATAAAATTCTAGTCAAACCTGAAATGGCTTCAGCAAGAGTACAAGATGGAGGAAACGCCTGCTCTGTCTTGCCCTGTTACAGTGGAGAGGGGAGCAGAGAAAACAGCAGTCAGTTGGCAGATACTGCCAATATTTTGAAAACCTGTTTTTGTTTTTAAACCAAACCCTGTGTGGCCCTGGGCATCCTGGAACTGACCTGTATAGGCCAGACTTGCTTTGAACTTGCTGCTTCTGCCTGCCTCTGCCTCATGCCATTCATCTCTTTGGTCCAGAGGAGACAGATGGTTTCTGGGGGCCAAGCCTGAAGGCGCTGGACTGACTTGATGATTCTGTTCTAGTTCCGAGCTCAGCGTCTCACTCAGAATGTGCTGCTGGCATAATGTTATTGTGCACTGTGTAATTACCCTTGTATTAGTCAAAAGCTGATTTCTCTGCCCCCATATCTGGTTGCAATCTGGACATGGCATGGTAATGCTTATTCTCAGAATCTCCTGTCTCAGGTTTGTGTAAACATTGCTCTCCATTTATTCTCTGCTTTGTCAATAAAGCTAACCATCCAGTAACCGAGCAGAAGAGAGAATAGAGCTGCACTTCTGTTTCCGGCAAGAGGAGGGATAAAGAAGCATTCAGCCTCGAGGAGAGGTTCATGAGACAACATAAGAAAACAGCCAGAACAAGAAAGCCTTAAAATGCAAGTATCTTGAGGAGTTTGGCTGGGAGGTAGCAACCTTAGCTTAGAAGACTAATATAGACCAACATTGCTCAGTTATTGTGCATGGAAACTTGTTGAATAAAACTAAAGACTGCCACTTCCTGTGTGGGATCCGGCCTGCTCTCATATCAGAGGCATCATGGAAATAGATTTGGCTTGGACATTAGCTACACTCCTGGACACATGTACTGGAAACTTCCAGGCTAGATACATGCCAACTGTGCCACCCTACAGGCCACTGAAACCCATGCTCCATGACTACATGTTGGCAACTGTGGGTCCACGTATTAAAATCCCTGGAGAGGTGATAGCCCAGGTCAGACCATGCTCCTGCAAGGATGTGGAATCTACCTGCCCGTTACCTCAGCTTGTACTGTGTGCACTGAGGACATTACCTCAGGCTCTTCAGGGGTTCAGTCACAGCGTCAAGAAAGGTCTCAGCTTGAGGATGGAGGGTTGTTCTGGCTCTTTCATGGTTTAGGTCTCTTTCTTTAATTGTTGTATGTGTGTGTTTGCATGTGTGTGAGAGAGCATGGGAGCATACGTGTGGATGTCAGAGAACAAACTCATGCCTCAGTCTCTTTACTGGCACAGGCCAGCTGGCTTGGGAGCTGCTGGTGTTTTGACCTCTGTGTCTGCCTTGGAGGAGTTCTGGATTATGGATGTGCCTGATGCTTCTAGCTTTGTGTGGGTGCAGGGGATGCTGGCATACAGCTTTGCCCACCTTGCAGGCTTCACTGTGGCTTTGGTCCTCTGCAGAGCTTCAGACATGCCCACCGCCGTCTCCCCGCTGCCACTCACCACGTCTGAGAACAGCAGCTTCGTCTACGACTACGACTACTCGGACGATGGGACCATATTGGTGTGCAGGAAGGACGAGGTCATGGTCTTTGCCAGAGTCTTCCTGCCTGCCGTCTATAGCCTGCTGTTCGTGCTGGGCCTGGCTGGGAACCTCCTTCTTCTGGGGCTGTTGCTCCGCTGGGGGCCTCGAAGACGGGCAACCGAGCTTTACCTGCTGAACCTTGCCGTCTCCAACCTCCTGTTTGTAGTGACAATGCCCTTCTGGGCCATCTCTGTGGTCTGGCACTGGGTTTTTGGCAGTTTTTTGTGCAAGGTGGTGAGCATGATCTACACTATTAATTTTTACTGTGGAATCTTCTTCATCACCTGCATGAGCCTGGACAAATACTTGGATATTGTCCACGCTCAGCCCCTCCACAGACCGCAGACCCGGGTCAGGAACCTGCTTCTCACTGCCGCAGTATGGACCACGGCCCTGGCCATCTCTGTCCCAGAAGCGGTCTTCGTGCGGGCCCACCAGACCATGGATGGTGCGTGGCACTGCTATGCGGATTTTGGTGGGCAAGCAACCGTTTGGAAGCTCTACATGCGCTTCCAGCAGAACCTTCTGGGCTTTCTCCTCCCACTCCTGGCCATGGTCTTCTTTTACACCCGCATTGGTTGCGTTCTGGTCAGGCTGAGGCCGCCAGGCCAGGGCCGGGCTTTGAGGATGTCCGCAGCCCTGGTGGCGGCATTCTTCCTGCTGTGGTTCCCGTACAATCTCACCATGTTTCTGCACTCGCTCATGGACCTGCGTGTCTTCGGGAGCTGCGAGGTCAGCCACCGTCTGGACTACACCCTGCTGGTGACGGAAAGCCTGGCCTTCTTCCACTGTTGTTTCACCCCCGGCCTGTACTGTCTCTGCAGTCGCCGCTTCCGCCAGCGTCTGAAAGCTTTCCTGGCCGCGGTGCTGAGATGGCACCGGGAGCCCGGCACTGCCCAGGCCCCTCCGTCTAGCTGTTCCGAGAGCAGCAGGGTCACTGTCCAGGAAGACATGGCCAGCATGAGTGATCTCGGGGAAAGGCAGGCTGATGAGTCCCTTAGCAAGGCGGGTGTGGGCAACAGTTAGGCCGAGTGTCCGTGCCACAGTCTGGGACTGGCACCACGCTCTCTGACGGAGCATGGCCGTGTTGCCTGGCCAGTGGTTCACCACCACCTCCCCCTCCATCTGCTTCCATCACCTGTGCGTCTGCGGCTTCCTGGGCCCCGGCAGCCAGTGAGGTCATCCCACTCTTGATTTTCATCCCCTCAGGGGCCATTTGGTCAGTCTGTGACCTCATCTCCATTGCCCCCTCCTGCTCCCTGTGTTCAGGGCACACTGGCTTCTTGTGTTTCTGGAGCTCTTCATGTTCATTCCCTGGAGGAGCTCAGCGCTGTCATCTCCCTGGGCATCTTTCTTCTCAAGACCTGCCCTTGTGAAGACTTTGGCTCATTCCTTCCCTTCTGGGGGTCTTGGTTCGAGTCTCACGCTGCCGGTGAGGGAGGGCCCCACGCCCACCCTGCTCACTGCCCTGTCCACACAATCGATGACCGTGTGCACTCACCGCCTTCACTCAGGGCAAGGTTTCTGTCTGTCACACTCCCTGGTGGCTGCCTTAGTCTGGTCCACACAGGGGAGCTGCAGAGCAAGGCTCTCAGGGCCTGTGCGCGCCACGTTCTGTCCACCCACCAGGGCCCCTTTCTCTGTAGCTCAGGGGGAGTCCACCTCCCCGCCCTGGACAGCAGTCCAGAGTCTGTGGCCTGAAGGCACCGGAGGCGCTGCAGCTGGCAGGCAGCCCAGAGGGGCACAGCGGCAGGAAGGCAGGGCATCCCAGTGTGGCTCTAATCTTGGGACCTCCAGTCTTTCCTGGGGTCTGGCCATCAGGTTCAAAGTTTTCCCTAAACGTTGTAAAACACATTCTGTGGGGAAGGCAACCCCTGAACTCATCCTGCTGGGAACACTGGATAGCCACATGTAGAAGATGAAAACTGGATCTCTGTCTGCCATCCAGTACAAAGAGCAGTTAACAATGGCTCAGAGACTAATGCATGACCCAGAGCTTTGAATCCACGAGGGAAGAACACTCGGGAAACAGCTAAAGGCACCGTAGAGGCAGAGACTGTCTGAGCAGAGCGCCAATAGCCCTGGGGATACAGGGACTGCACGAAGTCGCATGCTCCGTGGCACAGGGACAGTAGTCACGGCGAGGAGACAGCCTGCAGACCATCTGGGCAGCTTGCACCTAACAGGGCCAATATCTGGTCTGAACAGGGAACAAAAGGTTGATAAACTTAAATATCCAATAAAAAACAAACAAACAAACAAAAAACAACGGGTGGGTAAAGGAAACCAACATTTCAAAAGCAGAAGAGATGCTCAGGAAATACATGAAAATACCGCGCTCATGTCTGTCACGGAAGCGCAAATGGTTTCGCCCCAGCAGACCAGAGCAGTCACCAAAGAAGTGAGGAGAACAGCAGAGCCAGCAGCTCCAGCGACACCACACTGTGTGTCATCACCACCAGCCAGGAAGGGCACAGCCGTCCATGTCCATCGGCTGATGAATGGTGTGCTCCACACACCAAACGCACCAGAGTGACAGCCTTGACGGAGAGGAGGAGGAGAGAAAGGAGAAGCTGGGAAGCAGCTTGAGTTCTGGTTCACTGAAGAGTGAGTCAGACTTAGATGGTACCTCCTGTCTCTTCTGGTTTGTGGAAACTAAGACAAAAGAGAGCACACTTGAAAGCTGGAGAGAGGAGGGGGGAGGAGAGGGGGAGAGGGGAGGGGGAGGAGGAAGAAAAGAGGGGGAGAAGGAAGAGGGAAGGGAGAAGAGGGGAGAAGGCAGGGAGAGGGGAGGAGAAAGAGGGGAGAGGGCAGGAAGAGGGGAAGGGGAAAAGGAGAGGGCAGGGAGAGGGGAGGGGGAAGAGGG